GTCCAACCGACGTTTTTTCCCACCCGCCCCGCCGGAGGCTTTAGGGTTGATTCGGGTTACGATTGACAGGACTTGACTCGTCGCCAGCCTTGATCTGCATCAACAGCGGATTAGCAATCGTAGAGCCAGCCCAACCAAAACTACTGCTGATTGTGGTTCCATTTCTCGGAAGTATGTTGATTCCAGAAATGGCGACGGTATGAGTTGAGTGTCAGTGCTGTCAAACCGCAGTTGAAACCCATCACAGCCGGGCGAGAAAAGGACACATTCATGAGGCGCTTCCTCCCATCTCTCGTTTACGTGGGCCTTGAGTTGCCAAGCCTGCATTGACAGAGAGCTTGACCAAGTACACACGTAACATGTGCGCCTGACGCGTTGCGGAAGGTGCTACTGCAACTTAGGGCACGTGATGCTCCAAAGCCCTGAGGTCCAGAGGCAAGCTTTCCCTACAACCTTTGCGGCAATGCACATACATAGTAGATTAGTAGATGACTGGATGGCTGCATGTGCTGCTGTCTTTATATGCATAGGCAAGCTTTCCGTGTCTTCTGTGCCGGTTCTACCCCTCACGAAGTGACGAAAGGAAGAACTGGACCGAATGTTCCGTGTTCCAGGCTCGCATCCCCGAGAACCCGACTGCGCTGGTGGCACCACCGGTACCCAGCTGCCAGGAGCCAGTACGAACCTCGGTAAGAATGGCCAGGGGCACTTTCGATACTTGCTTCGATTCGAGCTGCGATAGGCGCGCACGTCCCACCCAAGCCATACTGACTGTCCTCCAAAATCCCGATTCGAGGCTGCAGGCTCCCATCTGGCAGCGGGGCCCGGGTAGCGTGCGCCTGGCTGCTTCCCGTCAAGTGGTGACTTATTGTTTCTTCTTGTAGTCGTCTCATGGCTTCGACCACTGCTACCACGACGCAATGCTACCACAACTACCAACACCACTGCCATAACTGGACCACTATACGAGATAGTCAGTAGTATAGCACCTACTGCAACCACAGCGACGGCGACCACCACCACGACGACGACGGCCACGGCCACGACAACCACAACGATGACGCCGACCGCGAGACGACCGCAACCGACAACGACCACCACGACTGCTACTCTCACTCCTCCTCCTCCTCCTCCTCCTCCTCCTCCTCAGGTCTCTCTCTCTCTCTCTCTCTGCCGTTGCCTCCTCAGGTCTGCTCTTGGTATTCTAGCTTGGCCGGTCGGCTGTGATGCTTAGATCAAGCGGTTCGGTTGCAATTCCTCTCTGGCGGCAGACCAAGGGTTCCGGATTTCAAGCCCTGGATGCTTCGGGGTGCTGCTACTGAACATGCCCTAATTCAATTGGGAACAGGAGCCGTGTGGACAACCCGCAGCCTATGCAACCCTTCAGACGAACTTATATCAGCCGCTATAATTCAGAGGCCTTCAACCCCCTCCACAAAAACTCTCTAAACCCCGTAGGCTCGTCATCCAAGTGGGCCTGAAATGGCCCAGGCAGGTGTCGAAGGAGATGTTGTGAGCCACCTCAGCGCGCGAGCACTTCGGCCACAGCTCGGGTGTCGGGTCTTTTTTTGGTGTGCCTTTTTGAGGCTCTTGCTCTCCTTGTGACGATCGAAATACTGATACCGGGCGGTGGACCGGCTTTAGCGTTCAAACCCAAAGGTCGACGAGCACAGACCTCAAACATCAGAACTAAGAACCCGGACTTTGCAGGGACTAGGGCTTAGGGACTTCACACAGGCGGTCAGGTAATCCTCTCAGATGCTACCCGATCACTGGCGCTAGACCTCATGCTGCCTGTCCAAGTCGGTTAAGCATACGAAGGCTCCCAACTTTCCTCCACATTGGCACAGGAGTGCCAAAAACAGTGAGAGCTATACTACATATAATACACACAACCAGGACGGCAGCGAGAGGGCAAATGGACTTTGCACACAAAGGTAGAGGGATAAACAAATCCAGATTTGCTTGCAGGATCCCGAGCACTGAAGCTGAGGTGCATGTGGCATGCTGACAAGAAGCCTCACAGGAAAGGAACCCAAAGACTACATGAATATGAGGATCTCGCATAAATTGGGGCCCTTATAATGGCTTCAATTCAACAGGAAAACCTTCGCAGTGGGATCTGAATGCTTGTGTCGTCTTTTGGTGCCCCAGGCTAAGAAGCTGAGGACCGCGCAATGAGGGAAGGGTACATACCTCTCACAGTACTCGTGAAAGGGGGGGGAGTTGCTTTGACAAGCACCAAACTAAGCATTGAGACGGAAAGTTTCTGTAGAATGTGGGCCTGGCAACCGGCAGATGTGTCGGACTTGGCATGGCGTGGTTCACGTCGATTCTAAGGCTCGACTCTACAGGTCTACGATTGGGTTTTACGGTACAGAAACAAGAGGGTGGACCGGAAAGGCCAACACAACAACAGTACCTAAAACCTCGGCAGAGAGGCATGCATCCTGAGTCGCCTGACGCGAACAAGCCATGGCCGGGGCCCATGACCTCATAGCTCTGAGGAGCCAGCTGAGTTCGGGATGACTACTCACTTTGTCCTCGGAATGTGCTGATCGTTGGTGCTCCTGGTGCTTGAATATGGCGTCACAGCCAAAAAATCGGAAGCCTTCACTCGGTTCAGGTTTGAGCCCCACAGCATCCTCCCCTCAACAGGGGCACCTTTGAAGTCGAGGACCAGCACGGGATCCCAGTAGAAGCCGGAACAAGGCTCCATGACGAGAGGCCTCGTAACTACGGCGGAGGCATTGTTGCGCCCGATGTCGTCAGCATGAACACAACTCATATCATACATGTATATATCCATACGTAGCAGTAGCAGTCGTCGTCTGGTAGCCGTACCTGTGGTAATACTCGAAATACTAACATTAATGTTAGTATTCGTCCTCGTCGTGGCAGTGGCAACGCGCACTGGTAGCGGCAGTGGCAATGCTGGTACTCTCCGTTCTCTTCCTTGTCTTTGCACCACTACTGCATCTCTTGACACTGACAATTACCTTTCTATAAACGGGAGCACTACCAGTAGTCAATTCTTTCAGTTCTGCTGCTGCCGCTGCCACTGCCGCTGCTGCTTGCTGCTTCTAGAAGTGGTAGCAGCAGCGATAGTGGTAGTGGTAGTAGTGGTGGTACTAGTAGCAGCAGCAGCAGAAGCACGACTACTAGTAGTAGTAGTAGTAGCAGCAGTAGTAGTAGTAGTAGTACTAGTACTAGTACTAGTACTAGTACTACTACTACTACTACTACTACTACTACTACTAGTACTAGCACTAGCACTAGCACTAGCACTAGTACTAGTACTAGTAGTCGTCGTCGTCGTAGTAGGAGTAATAGTAGTAGTAGTAGTAGTAGTAGTAGGAGTAGTCGTCGTCGTAGTAGTAGTAGTAGCAGTAGTAGTAGGAGTAGTAGTAGTAGTGGTAGTACTAGTAGTGGTAGTACTAGTAGTAGTAGTCGTCGTCGTCGTAGTAGTAGTAGCAGCAGCAGTCGTGCGTAGTAGTACTGGTGCTAGTACTACTAGTACTAGTACGGCTGTAGTGTTGGCTGTGCTAAGACTCTGCTGCTGCTGTAAAGTTCTCGGCTTTCGGTGTGCTGGGCTGTAGAACTGCAGGATTTCGGGCTCCTTGGTGATTTGCACCCTTAGGTGTTCAGTCCCTTGTGGCTAGGCTGTCTCCTGAATCGGTTGGACGAACCCTGACCGCGCAGCTTCAAATTGCGAACAGCAGGGGCGGAGTTTTCTGAAGCAACTGCGATGAAAATTGTCTCGCCAGTCAGTACCTGGAGTCCAAGCCGGATAAGAAATGGAGCAATCACAGGCACGCCCTGTGAGTAGCGAACGGTGCGGCACGAACTTGCGTCTGATTCAGCTCACGTTGCAGATGGACTCTCCCAAACCTACGCAAGCGCTAAAATCTCTGAATCCGACTTTGAGGCATAGCCCAGATCTTCCTGAGCTGAGATGGCTGTCTTTGGCCAGGGTATGTTGGGCAGAGGCCCCTGCAAAACAGCATCGGGTGCTATGAAGGTCTTGGACCCTACGTGCATTTCCTTCCCACAGCCTTTTGTTGCATCAAAAGCCCTCAGTGCCTTGTCTGCATGGTTTTCGTTTAGGATGTGAGGTTCATGTACAGTCTCATAGGGCTTCATAGGGCTTTACCATGCTCTACCCACTTGAACCACCCTCGGCCCCCAACGCTGAGCCCCTACACCGATGAACCCAAATCCGAAGCCGCTCTTCTAAAGAACTATCCGACTCTAGGGCTCCATGGCGCTCGGCAATGGTGTCAAGTTTTTAGAGTTTTTCGCAGTGGTAGCAGCATTAAGAAGATTCAAGTGATAGCTCGGGACGTTAGCTGCCAGTGGTCCCTCCGCCCAAATGCTTATAAGCAAAAATCAATAAATTGCTCGGCCAATGGCGAAAACTCCGCGGAGCAGAGCAAGGAAGGCCAGCCGACGGCAAAACTGAAAGAACGTCTGCTGTCGAGCCCATGCTTGCAACAAACTCAACCTTAGGGCCTTAGGGTTTCGACTCTCACACTCGCACCGCACAGGCAAGGCTCCACACAGAGGGTTTAGGGTTCAATCGTAGCCCTGAAGCCTTTGACTCTGCTGAGTCCGGAGCCCTCAACATCGTCACTGTTTCCCGAATGCAGGCGGCATTGCCTTTGCCTCTTGGCTCACTCTGGTGGCTTCAGCACCTGCTCGGAAACGAAAAACTGGGTTCTTGTTAAAGGATTTAGTTTAAATTACCATAATAAGGAAACCATATTATTTGCTATAGATCCCTATTCTGGTAACTTAAATTAAATCCCTTAACAAGAACCCAGAAAAGCTGCATCGGAGATCCGTCGATTGAGCTCAGTGTGCGGAGTCTAAACTGCAGGAGTGCACCGGCCGCGAATGCCAGCGGCCGGCATGCTTCTCCCATGCAAAAGCATTGTAATACTATGACTGTTGGTTTTTCTCGTCTATCCACTGCAACGTTTCGTGACATGTTCCTTCCATCAAGTATTCAAGTATGTCACATCGCCATAGAAGAAAGCGATCGGCGCCTCCATTCCCATCATGTACGGCCGGAGGACTTCTGGAATTGTCACAGAGCCGTCCTCGCTGACATGGTGTATGTGACAACCTGAACCCTGTAACCTAGCTTCGAACCCGGAAACGTTCCCCTGAACCCCAAAGACCTAAACCTTATGATATGGCCCTTTTACCTGATACCCGGAACGTTACCACAGCAGCGGTCCTCGTTCTGAAACGTCTCCAGAATCGAGATGATCATTCGGGGAACGGCGCACGCCGTTCCGTTGAGCGTGTGGGCAAACTGCAGGTTCCCCTGTGATGCCAGGTTTCGGATACACTCTCGATTACTCTCGGTTCTCATAACTAGAACAAGCCAGGCGAGGTTCCACAGGTTTAGGGTTTAGGATGGTTGAAGGCTGTCTGGTGTCAGTGTTCAAGCTTTCGGGGTTGTTAAGCTCGGTAGCGGCAGCCCTTCCACTGTGCCTTCTGGTTGTACTCCTCTTTGTGCCGAATGTTCAGCCGCCGGGCCTGCAGGACACTCTCGGCACGCCTCTGCATCCTTTGATATATTATAAAACACAGTAATGTAATAAGCGACCGGTCCAGGCTGAGTTACCGCAATGGCGGTAATGTTCGGATTGATCGACATATAACATAATAGAAGCATAGCGTGCAGTGTAGCTTGCGGTCGTTCTGGCGAGAACGGTGCAAGGAAGCCTCTCACAGGGTCTATCAATTGGGCACATGCGCTTCTCTTGAACTATCTGTGTCCAAAGATCTTGGAGCCTCCAAGCACCACACGCATGCTTCGGGAGGAGCGCACCTGGTAGTCGGTGCAGCTGGAGCACGAGGAGATCTCTCCCCACTTTTCCAGTCCCGGCATCCAGGCCTGCTTCGTCTTGGGCTTGGCGCGCACTTCCGCACAACTTATCGGTGTTAAACGTAGAATGCTGCCAGCTCTATGAGCTTTAGTGCTTCATCCTAAGCCTGGAATAAATAACAAATCGAGCGCAAGATCGTCGCGATTTGTCCTGACCCTGCCACCCATTCCATATCAGTGCCTCAGCGTGCAGTGGACTTTACGCAGAACTTGAGACATGGTCGAGTGCGAGTGGTGAAGCCAAAGCGGCTGAGAGTGCAGTGATCTATTCGGGAGTGGGGTGCTTGTGACTCCGGTTTAGGACTCGTCACATCCCAATCAAGAGGGTCCATTCCAGACTATGCTAACCGGAGATGAGAAGCGTTTCTTTGAGATTTTGGGAAGGACTCCATGAAAGCCCCGAAACCGAACCCCGAGCCCCGGCAAAAGGCCCTGCCTCCATGTCAAACTTCCTGTAGGCCGGGGCCCCCAACTCCTCTGTTGGCCTTGGGCTTCGAAGCATTGATGGACTGGGGTTCTGAGTTTATGATTTCACATGCCATCGGCAAGCAGCGGGGGTGTCTGGCCAGTTTAGAAATGTTGGTTCTGGGCTTTTTACCGCTTCGACCCGCACATTCAACGAGCAAGTACGGCTCGAATGGAACGAAACATGTGAAGCGACGGACTCGCTGAAAAGGCCACGTGATACAACCAATTAGCTCAGTACCTCAGACGTGTGTGTAAGCGGCGCATATCTAAGGTCATATGTTTAATCTCACTGTACATATTATACTACGTGTGTCTTGTTGTGCGTTTGAACATGGGTGATTTTGAATCATGACTAAAATGGCTTCATTGGTTCAACCTTCCGAAAGCCCGCGTCCCCAAAGCCAGTCACTTCATCGCTGCTGCCAAAGAAGCATGTCCAAGACACGGAAGCAAAGGCCCAGCTGGGTGAAGAGGTCCTCCTCAAAGTGGAACGTGTAGCTGGGGAGTTGTACAAATCACAAAATCGTCATCATTGGGGTTGGTCGTGGGGGTTGCAGCTACCCGAGCTTTGACTCTTGCTCCCTGAGGATGCAGGGAGGCAGTCTGAGCTTCCAAGAAATATCTTGACGCGAAATTTCCCTTTGAGCCATGCATCCTGCGTATAGGACGAGAGTACGAGGACCACCACAACTGCTACCAGTTTCCTATGCTCCGACTGGAAACCGAACTGCCGCCTCCTATATACTCATGCTACCCCTACTACTCCTACGACGACTTCTACTACGAGGACAAGCAAAAAGGGCACCACCAGCGCCACCGCCGCCACCATTACATAGAACCTTTAGCTCTAGTTCGAGTTGCGGCTCATGTTCTCAAAGGCAACCATTACTCCTTCTTACTCCGAAGCTAACTCCTACAAGTCTTGTCGTTATTGCCAAAGCTCCCCTCGTTGCTTCTACTTCGTCAAACGCACACCGCAATGACCGGAGCCTCAAGCTCCCGAATCTCGTCGAGCATCTTGTTGGACCTGCAGCTCACAGACTTCAGGTTTTGCTGGTTTCCAGGGTTTAAGGACTTTGGGATTAAGGGTTTAGAGTTTAAGGATTTCGGGAATAGAGGAGGACTGATGAGCCGCAATTTGGAGGCGAAGGCGGTACTCTGCTAGCGGCGTCGCTTCGGATTGAAAACCGGCTGAAAAGACTCTGATTGAAGCCGCAGCCTGAGTCGGAAGCCACTTAATGCAGCCACTGCTATGGAAGCACACCAATTCCCGAAGACTGCAACAAAAGCTGCCGGGTCTGGAAGGTCCAACCTTGCATTTATGTTGGCGATGCGGTGTGGTCTGGTACTAACCGGGTAATAATGGACTCATGGAGCAGGAGCGTGCTGATAGGCCACGATGACCTGCAGTTGTCTACTGAAGCTAGGCAGGCACCAGCTGGCTACGGGCACTGGGCTCTTCCCTTAACTTCCTGACACACTCAACCCCGTTGCATCCGAAGATTGCTGCAATGGAACAACAAAGTCCGTTCAGCAAGGTACAGGTAGTGATGGTAATGGCACCAGAAATAAGAAGAAGACATGCAATAACCTGAAACATGCGATTTACAAGTATGGTGACGCTGCCAACACACAAGCAACATCGGCTGCGACATTGACTTTTGACGATGCCAAACCCATTAATATGTTTTACTTGCGGTGTACTCTCCCAATCCTCTTCTTAGTATTGTTATGCATATCCAACACTGATTCAATACTGTAGCCCCGAGGGCCCCAATAACTTCCCTTGCTGGCCGCTGGACTTCAGGCCCTCGCTCATCTATGTCGGCCCGCGTAACTGCAAACAGCTCCACCTCGCAAGGTAGGGCATTCTCGGGTATGCGCAAGAAAGAGGTACGAGACTGGTATCCGCAGACAGGAGTTTCTCTTCATGCGAAGGAAAAAGTGCATGCTCCTGCTCAGGGTATTGCAAAGGATGCGGTGGTGGTGGTGCTGCCACCCAGTTTGGGTACAGATTGTGCGTTTCTTCCGCCTGGCGCAAGATTTGAGAGCTGTCCCTGAAATCTCAGCACGACAACACCTCGGATACCCTAAACCCAGAAGCAAAGCCCAAAACGCATGGTGCCCTGGAAGAGGGACCTTGCTGAACTGGTGTAGCCGGTAGATGCCCCGGTTCTCCGAGCCCGAAGAGCCAGCCTCTCAGGGCTTCTTGCTTTCCAAGCTGAAGTCGAGAAATTGCGGGACCAATCTTCGAACATATGTGACCAATGTTCGAACATGTGCTTGGGTGAGGGGCTACACTGTTATGATAAAGTGAGGTATTGGGGCTCCGATCTTCAGCAGTGAGGTGTCAAGTTGCGGTCGCGATGTTGCAGCTCTGGCCGGTCTTCAAGGTAATCGTCGGCTTCTCAAAAAAAATATGGGGGGCCGTAACAGTTAGTTAGAACGGAACATGGTGTTGGGGTTTGTTGTACCACGAATTTACAGTCACTGTAAGGGGATAGCCTTTTTTTTAGCACTCGCGCTCGAGCGGCGTCAGGCGAGGGTTGGGGAGGATTCTAACAGCAGAGAGACCCGTCTCGAGTCCCAAATCACGCACCTTAGGTTTAAGGCTTAGGGTTTAGGGTTATCAATGATTCTTAATGCCCCTCTATGAATGTCACTTCTCCAAATCTCCGGGCCTCGGTCCTGAAAGCGTGGCCGAAGGCCACAAGGCGCTTAGGGAGCTCCTGCGCAGTCGCAGCGCAGTGATGGCGACTACGACACAGACGAGGCAAAAAGGCTTTAGGGCTTAGGGCTTAGGGTTTAGAGTTTAGGGGTTTAGGGTTTAGGGCTCCTTACAACCCCTCAAACCGTAATCAAGCTGATGGGAAAGGAGGCTCCAGCCGGGATAAGCGGAGACGTAGAAATCAGGACCTGGTGTCTGTACCATGGGTCACACTCTGGTCTGGGTACCACCAACCAAGGAGGCCTGATGAAGACTTGAGGCGGGGGGTGGCTGGGGAAGAACCCCGAAGTCTCTAGCAGAGACAGACTCCAAGACCACTTAATTAAGGAATATACCTTAAATCGCATTAGGGAACATAGTATAATCTAAGGTATATTCCTCAATTAAAGGTTTTTGGAGTCTCCAGGGGATTGTCAAAGATCGCGCATTCTTAATCTTCCATGGATAGATGCCGCTTCACTGTGCTTGACCGTGATCTGATGGAAACAGTCGGTTTTTCGCAGCCCTGTCCAAAAGCAACCGCTCGGAATCGGAACCGAATGGGTGGTTCCAGGTTTTAGGATAGTCTAGTCTTATCAAGTTTTAGCCAGGCTTTAGGACATGCTAGTCTTTTTAAGGTTTAGCCCTCAATCCCCAAAAACCGTGCAGCTTCTGCTGCTTCAACAGGACGCTTCTGTTCACTTCGGCGTACCCTAGAACCAAGATGGCGCTCCTTTGAGGCGATCAGGGTGTCATTCATGAACATGCCTGGACACCAGGTGCTGATATCTCTTCTGCCTAGGATTCCGTGAGCATTTAAGGCTTTAAGCTGTAGGATTTAGAGCTCTAGGGCTTTAGATTTGGGGTTTCAGCACTCACAACGGGACAAGCCTAGCTAGATTATTAGAGGTACGCTCTCACAACTCGGACAAGCCAGGCCAGGTTCCATAGGTTTCAGTCGCTGTGATACAGGCACACGACCCTCGTGGTTAGACTATTAGATTTAGGGTTTTTTCCCCTCCCACTTAGCAAGGACGAGATTTAGGGCTTTTTTTCCCTCCCACTTAGCTTGGACGAGCCCGCATTGCAGGGTTTGAGTCAGATATGTCGGTTATGCATCGATCGCCTCAGGCCCCCCCCCGGGTTTCAAGGCGCAGCTAAGACAATCAATTGACGCCCTTAAGGCAACAGCAAGACAACCCGAGATTTAGGGTTTAAAGTTTAAGGTTTTGGGCTTAGGGGGTCTTGGATTTCTTGGCTGATCTAGAATTGAAGGTGCCGACTCGCTCACTCGCTCAAAGCAGGCAGGGATTCAGGGGGGCTGGGGCTGAGTTAGGAAACAGCCGGAAAGCTGTCAATACATGTCCAGATTGACGGCCTTGTTATTTGTATATTTACACATATCTACCTATCTATCTACCTATCTATATACATGCATATATATATATATAAATGTGATATGTACATATTTGGATTATACACAGGAAGAGGAGAACCTGGAAGATTCTTTAAAAAAATAAAGCTAGCCAGATATAAACAAGATCGCAAGCCCCGTCCCACCGCGCAAAGCTAAACACTCAGGGCAATGCAGTAGCAATGCAGTTTACAGCCCAGACTGACTCAAGAAGCATTCGTGCGGCATGGCCATCTGAATGCAAAAATCTCGTCAGAAATCCTGCACGGCACGTTCGAAAGGGTCTCTCGCGGCAGACGAGGTGCTGCTGCAGCACCCAATCCCCCAACTCCAATCGTCTTCACCTGAAGCTATGCACGAACCCTCCGAAAGATGCAAACCCCTGAACCCTACAAACCGATGTAGCCACCGGTACAGAACCCACAGAAACCGAGACCCTAAACCCTTATTACCCCACTTAGACTGTAAATCCTTAAGTTTTAGCATCCTTTCTCCCCTAAACCCCTCAGACCCCAAAACTCGGCGCCCTTTCATCTCTAAATCACTGACCCCAAATCCCACCTGCCATGGGGATCTCAGCAGTGCCCGCCAGGCAGAGGTCCGAGTCACCTCTGCGTCGCTGGTTTCAGCTCATAGCTCGAACGTTCCGGGGGGTGGGGGGTCTAAGAACTCTCATAGTATCCTTTAGCCTGCTCTGATATGTTATAGTTCGCTAGAGTTTATTAAGATGCATAATGGCATAATATGCTATATACAGTTTGCTATAGTGTGTTATAGTATCAGATCGTGTGTTGTAGAATTCTCGTGCACCTACCCTGCCGCGGCGACGGACTGACCCCTGATGGCTGTGGAAGTTGAGGTTTTCGACCACATGCCACACTCTTGGGCTCCCACTGACCTCATAGATCCTTGGTTGGCAATGCTCGATATCATGCATGCAAGACCACGCCGGAAAGAAGGTCATCTCATGATGACTTCGAAACCACCAACCACCGAAGACTGTAGAGTTCATGACATCCTGCATCGGAAGCATCTGCTGAAGGCGGGGTGGTGATTTGGTAGCTATTTCAGACACCCCCACTTCTGGAGTTCCGTATGCCTGCTTGCTGAATCCCATCGGACATTCGTCAAAGCTCGACGAAGATATATTGCTGCCTAGCAGCTGCGTGGCCTCGTCATCGCGGGGGGCAAATCCACAGCCCGCCACAACAGGAGCCTCGGCTGGCCTAGAATGGCCTTAACGTCCAGTTTAGGGTTTTTGTTTCCCACCCGCCCTGGGTTTAGGGTTTCGACTCACACACTCGCTCAACCGGTTTTTTTTCCCTCTCGCATGGCTAAGGATCAATGCCCACAAGCGAGGTGAGTCTGTAGGTTTGGAAAGGTGACAACTGTACTAGATGCGATGTAGATCTGCCCATGAAGATACCTAGCCCTAAGTTAGAGCCCAATGCAAGCAACACGGACACGTGACCTCTACCGCATCACAAGCTCCATTGCCGCAGACCCCAAACTAAATAGCACCAATAAACCCAATTAACGGCATGAAGACTGGAGCAAAGGAGCGCTACACAGCGAACTTCACAAACGAAAGCTCTGACGTGTACAACTTTCAAGACTGTACCAGGCCAGACGTGCAGCAAGCTGTCAGCAAAATGCCGTGAATTACCAATTACAAATTCCTAATTACTGCACATGCATGCCCAACTCATTCACTCACTCAGAACTCAACCAGCATAGAGCCCCACAAAGCCAGAGACACGGTAGGGAGAGTGCAGACCGTTCAACGCCCCTGGGGGGCCAAAGCCATGACATGGGCCTGTGACCGCTGCAATCGCGGGCGACCCTACGAGTCGCAGGATCATCCACAATTGCAGGTGCTCATAGTTAACGCTGCACACAGCACCCAGATCCACAGAGAAAGCAGTGAGTAGATTGCCCACAAACCACCAAGACTCTGAAGACCGAAAGTAGCCCTGGAGCATGAATCACAGGGTCATCTCATCGCCAAACCCAACTGATACGGAAAAGCCCCACGCTGCCAAAACTTTCGCAGGAGCACACATCAGCAAGCAATGCAGCATTTCTGCCACTCCAAGCTGAATGCTGAATTCGACTGACTGACGAAGGTCCACCAGAGTTTTCTGTACCACTGTGTGCCGCAGCAAAATACCCAGGCCTCAACCGCACTGCTCACGGAAAAGAGCGGGAATACAGCAGCCAGAATGCTGTGGAAATGCGCCCCCAGCATCCACAGCAGTTTTGGGACAGTCAAAAGTTTAGATTCTCCTCGTAACACAGTTGACTAGACCTTCCCACCGGTATGGATCTCGCGCAGCAGCATCCAGAGCATACCAGACAGCTTATCACGAAAGTCAGAGGCATCGGCCATTGCATGCTAGACTCCACCAAACCCGAAACTAAAAGTCAGAACTCAACTTCATAGAGGGTTCGGGTCTGAGGCGCGTAAGGGGCAGCATAGATTAGATCAGGCGACTGATACAGGCAAATCCGGGGACCCAAAGCTTCTGCACCTGCGTGATGTGAGCAGCGGAGTGTTGGTGGCAGAGTGCAGCAGCATGGTGAAGGTGGCTGATGTGGCCGGAGCAAATGAGGCTGCCTGTCTTCGTTTTTGTTTGTTTTTGGGGTTTTTGGGCTGCCTATGTTGCTCAGTGGCCTGACCAATCACTTCGCCAATCACTTCGCTGAAGTTCCCCTTAAAGAAAGCAAGACAACACTCACGGCAACCAACCATGGTAAGTCCACACCAATTCCGAATTCAAGTCACAAAGAACCGCCAAATTCCGAATTTCCGAATTCCACCGAAACCCAAGTCCGAATTACAAATTAAAGCTCCAAAAGGCATGCAAACAAAGCGAGTATGCACATGCAGACATGCAAACGAGATGGTCAGTCGCACTTGTGAGTGACATGAAAAAAGTCATGAATCTGTGTCTGCCGAGCGCCATGAACCCTGAAGTCAGTTTGCAAAGAAAGTGTGCCAATAGGTGTGAAGGCCACAAGTACAATTCTACGACCCAAGTGCCAAGGCTCGGTGGCATGCAACAATGTGCGTGCCGGGAATATGAAGTGCGTACGCAAATCTTGAATCCTGCCTCGAACCTGTTGTCCCTGATGCAACATAATGGTGCACCCCTGAGGATCAGCAACCCACAAACCACCACCCTGAATGTCTGGAGTAAGACAGATCACAAGACTGTGTCCAATGTTGCGGGTGTCACGGTGTGGGCCACGACTACAGTTTTGACGGACAGCAAGACACGAGAACTGAAACTCTGGGCTAAGGGACTTCACAAAGGAACATAACAGCTCGAACACATGTGGCATGGAGGTGGTGGCAGTGGTGAGCTTCTTGGTGTTACGAGGGTTGACCCCAAAGACCGTCACCACTGCTCCGGAATGATCTCCATCTCGTAGCTTGAGTCTACGGGGTATGGAATCCCATACATCCACTACATCAGCCAATGAGAAAGCAGCCCCTCTTTTATGCTTGCAAAGAAGAGAGTAAGCGAGAGTTTCAACCGGAGCATACACCAGAGGAACCCCCAACTGTGACCCCAGCTTCCCCAAAGAGTCCTTATCCAAGCCTAAAGCAAGCATGTTCTGCTCAACTTCAAGGTCACTGTCCGAATCGGAAAGAATTGAAACAACCTCTGAAACGACAGATGCGCTCGCCGGTGTGACTACGTCGTCAGGGGTTGCAGGTTGTGCGGTGTTCACCACAGACGGCAGGGAGCTGCGTGTGTTCAGAGGCGGGGTGGAAGCTTCGGGTTCTCGGGGTCGCTTCATCTCAACACTGAACTGCTGCAGCCGAAAGAAAGGCACGCAAATCTGGGAAAAGACATCAATCCTGGAAGTAGCGCTCTCAAAGGATGCAGCTCTCTGAAGCGCAATCACTGAGTTCGCCTTTTTCGCTTGCCAGCAACAGACTGATGCCAGCGGTATGTGGAGAGTATCGCACGGAGTGCTATTCACGCTAAACTGCCCTAGGAATGCACAATGAACAGGCATAATGTACACAGGTTCGGGGCAGCATTTCAGAAGCCACACGAAAACAAATTACAAATTGAGAATTACAAATTAAATGCAAAAGAATTACCAATTACTAATTAGATGCTGGGCATGCAAATGCATGCAGGCAAAAGAAGAGCTAAGCTCTTGATGCCGTGGATTGCAAGGGCAGTAAAGCAGTATGGAGCCACATTGCTACCAGAATACTCCAAGGAGGAGATGGCGGGGAGCAAAGTGCAAATAGACGGCCTAGGCTGGCAAGCAGAGGATCAGCGTAGCATAGCCCTAAGCAAATCTCCTCCTGATGTAGCCTGGGGCAATGGGGTGATCAAGAAATTGGGCTGCCTACCATCACTGCCTACAATGAGCTGAGGGGTGCTCGGCTGTTGGACAGCTCCCACATGCTCTGAGAGGCGAAGCTGGATTCCAGGGCTAGGCTGCTGGTCCAAGGTCACCGGAATAACTGTAGGCTGTGGTGTCGAAGGCATCTGTGGTCCCAAGGTCGTAGGCGGCGTTGAGGGATGAGCGGGCTGCTGAGACGGTTGCTGTGCGGTCTCCGGAGGCTTGTCTTGGGAAGGCGGCTTCCTCTGAGGAAGCTTCGGCAGCCGCTGCAGGATTTCGGCCAAGGCCGGGGTCTCTTGCAGCACTGATTCGAAGCCCGTACGAACCTTGTCGTCCGTTTCATTGGCCTGGTCGATAAGGCCCACGACCAGGGGCTCCAAACGAACCAAACGATCTTCACAGCTTTGGACCGACTCACTACAAGCCTGAAGCACAGATTGAGCCATCGTGCTGGCTTCTCTGCCTCCATACACCATGTCAACAAGCTGCTTCTGCTGTGGGACCAAACTGCCTCTGACCAGGCTCGTAAGGTCCATGACACTCTTGTTCACCCACCCGCTGTTGTCTTTGGTGTGCGCGAGAATTTTGTCTCTTTGCTGTTCGACCACCACTCTCAAAACAGCTGTCTTCTCCACCAACTCCTCGATTTTACCTGACAAGGTCTTGCCCAAGCGATCTTGTTCGCCCGTCAGGTCCTTCTTCGACAACATGTCCCCATTGATCTGCAGCAAAAGTCCATGGGACTCCGTAGCACGATTCGACAGGGCACCAAGCTTTGCCAGGTCAGAGGAGTGTGTATTCAGGAGTTTGTGAACAGAGGAAAGCTCCGTGCCCATAGCCTGAAGCACACCAAGCTTGGCCACCACTTCCAGAACTTGTTTCTGCAGCAGCCTGAGTTCATCAGGCGAGGAACCCATAGCAGTGGAGCTGCCTCCTACATCATCACGAAGCTGTTCCAGCAGAGTACTGATGACAAGCTTACAAGCTTCGGACATGTTGGCAGGTTTGAAAAACTGAGCCAACACTGAGCACTGTTCATACAGCTCGTCGGTCAGCTTTTCATGGCCTCGCTGGAATTGAAAGGCCTGATCCTGAAGCTGAGTTTGGAAAGCCTGGAAAAAGGCATTCTGCTCCTGTTGCTGCTTATCCACCTGCTGCTGTAGGCTCTGCACAAGAAGCAACAACTTCTTCTGCCAT